CCTTGTGGTTAACTGCCTGATTTTTAACCCACTGTGTCACCAGGGCTCCTTGTTGTAATTGTTATTGTATGCCATCAAGTTGGTTTCAATTCACAGTGACCTATAGATTTCCGAGAGTGGCTGGTGAATTTGAACTGCTGACTTTTCTGTTAACTAAGTTAAGTGTTGTCAAGTGTTATCAAGTCCTTTCTGACTCATACTGACCCCATATAGGGTTTCCAAGGAGCAGATGGTGAGTTTGAATTGCCGGTCAAACCGACCTTGCAGTCCAGTGCTTATCCTACAGCACTACACCAGAACTCCAGTTAATAATCCAGTGCTGATTTTTACCGTGCCACCCCAGGGCTCCTTAGTTACCATAAATTTTACTCTTTGTAAATTTTAGAAAAACAGAATTTGGGAGGTAGCCTCCTTATCATTAAGTGCCATCGAGTCATTCCAACCCACAGTGATCTTGTATAGGGTTTTCCAAGAAGCAGCTGATAAGCTTGAACCACCAACCTTGCAGTTGAAATGACTTCGCAGTCTGATGCATTAGCCCACAGCAACACAGCAGCAGGGAGCCTAGTTTATGTTTATTTAGGCCAAGAAAATGGAGCCAGAGAGAAAATGTGTTTTTCCAAAATAGGAGATAAAGTAAGACCATAACTTAGGTCTGTTTTGTTAGCATTATTAAGTCAACTCCAATATAACTATCTTACATTTTTTATAGACCTTTTCTCATATGGATTTTAAACATCATACCTAACATATCAGAAAAATAGTAAAAAAAAAATAGTTTACATATATCAAGGTATATATTTCATAAGGAGCTCTGGCATTGCAGTGGCTATGAGTTGGGCTGATAACCTCAAGGTCAGTAGTTCGAGACTACCAGCTGTTCCACAGGAGAAAGATGAGGTGTTCTGCTCTTGTAAAGATTTATAGCCTCAGAAACCCTATGCAGGGTCACTGTGAGTTGGACTTGACTCCCCAGAACATAACCACCAACATCATATTTCATAGCCATTAGGAGTCCTCGTGGGGTGCTGCAGGATAAGCATTGGACCATAAGGCTGGTTTGAACCACAAGTTTGGCAGTTCAAACTCACTAGTCTTTCCTCGAAACCCTATACAGGGTCAGTATGAGTCAGAACCAACTCAGCGGCACACAACAAGTCTTTTATACCTTAATAGTGAAAATACTCACATGGTTTTATTCTGATTAAGCAGAGTTCTTGAAAATATTTGTTGAAAGACAGTGGGCTAATGGAACTGATTTCTGGAATGGACATATCAAATTTCACTTAGTTAACTGGCTTATTTAACATAAATTAAATAATATTAACTTACATTGTTCTTGTTGTTAAGTACCGTCCAGTCGGTTCTGACTCACAGTGACTCTGTATGGACAGGGTTTTGAGACTTTAAACCTTCATGGGAGCAGAAAGTCTCATCTCTCCCCACCCCTCACCCCCCAGAACTCCTAATAGTTAATAACAAAAAATAGTACAATTAAATAATATTAATTAAAATAACTAAATAAAATTTGAACTCATTTAACTTAGGCCACATTTAAATCAACAACTATCATTCAATTATTTAAGCTATTTCTAACCAACTTCTTAAACGTAAGCAATGTTGTTGTTGTTAAGTGCTGTCGAGTTGATTCCAACCCATAGTGACCCTGTATAGGGTTTCCAAGGAGGAGCTGGTGAGCTTGAACCACTGATCTTGCAGTTCAAACGACTTTGCAGTCTGACGCATTAGCCCACAACGCCACAGGAAGACATAAAAAGACAGTTTTGGAGACAGATAATGGGATTTTGTCTTAGCATACTGCTTCTTAAAAGAAATTTCTGGCAGATAATCTAAGTTCTCTGAGCCTGGGAGACCCTGGAATGTGTGGTATTCCAAACAATGAAAACAAAACTTCTGATATTTTTCTTTGTGAAAGTGACTTCTCATATGCTGCCGTTGTTAAGTGCCATAGAGCCAGTTCCAACTCATAGCCACACATAGTTGTATAAGCTTTCCAAGGAGCAACAGGTGGGTTTGAACTGCTGATGTTGCAGTTAGCAATCAAGTGCTTATCCCACAGTGCCACACTGTACCCTAACTATCATATATGTTGTTGTTGTTATTATGTGCCGTGGAGTCGGTTCCAACTTACAGCGACCCTATACAGGGTTTCCAAGGCTGTAAATCTTTACGGGAGCAGAAAGCTTCATCTTTCTCCCATGGAACAGCTGGTAGTTTCGAACTGCTGACCTTAAGGTTCACAGCCCGATTCGTAACCACTACGCTACCAGAGCTCCTTAACTATCATATATAGTTACATAAATTCAATTGTATACACAATATACATACCTTAGCTAATCCTTCTTTCTCCCTTGTCCCTAGAGAACTTTAAATAGGAAACCAACACAACACCCAGAAAAATGTGTGTGTGAGTGTTGGCCAATAACAGAGCTGGAACCAGAAACTGTGACTACTCCAAGTTACTCATCTTTTCATTCAAATATCTTCATTCTGGAAAAGTTGGTGAAGCCTGGGATGAACCATGAAATAATACAAACTTATCATTACAAAATACAGAATAATGGATGATTATAGAAGTCCCCTAGGAATAAACAATTGGCATGCTATTACTAATCTAAAGAGAGCATTGTGGCAATATGGGGTAAGCACTAGACTGAGAACAATAAGGTTGGCAGTCCACGCCCACCAGTGGCTCTTTGGGAGAAAAATTAGGATTTTTTTGCTCCCATAAAGATTTACAGCCTCAGAAACCCTATGTAGGGACGCTATGAATCATAACCACTGACTCAGTAGTACATTTGTTGTTGCTAAGTGCCATCGAGTCGGGATCTGACTCATAGCAACCCTGTACAGGGTTTCCAAGGTGCAGCTGGTGAGTTAGAACTGCCTACCTTAACGGCCTACACAGACATTGCAGTTTACCGCATTAACTGGCAATACCACACCAGAAGTCCTCAATTGTACATAGTAACAACTAATCTAAAGGTTGGTGGTTTGAACCCACCTGGTAATGCATTGGATAAAAGGTCTGGCTATTTCCATAAAAATTACAACCAAAAAATCCTACAAAGCAGTTCTACTCCGTATCACATGTGGTCTCCATGACTCAGAATTGACTCGGTACAGTAGGTCTTTTTAAGGGCAAAAACTCACTGCCATGAGTCAATTTTGACCCACAGAGACCGGGTAGCACAAAGCAGAACTGCTCCTTAGGGTTTCTTGTACAAAATCTTTACAGGAGCAGGCAGTCTTGACAGTGTCATCTTTCTCCCTCAGAGCAGATGGTGGATTTGTGGTTGTTGGTGTAAAGTGCCACAGAGTTGGTTCTAACTCATAGTGACCCTGTATAGGTTTCTGAGGTGTAGCTGGTGGATTTGAACCAGCGACCTTGTGGTTAGCAGTCCACTTGCTTACCTACAGTGCCGTACCAAGTCCCTAGATGATGGATTGTTGCTGTGAAGTGCCCAGTCTGTTCCGACTGATAGTGATCCTACATAGGGTTTCCTGGGAACAGCTGCTGAGCTTGAACCGCAACTTTGTGGTTCAAATCGACCTTGCAGTTCATTCAGCACATTAACCCACAGTACCACACTAAGGACTCCAGATGGTGGCTATAGACAGTGAATTTGCTTAGTATTGGTTTCTCAGTCTTCAGAAAATAATATTCATTGTAAAGCCAGGGAAAATGACTGATTTGAGATGTTTACATACAATATACATAAAAACTTTCTAACCTTGTGGTTAGCAGTCCAGTGTTTACCCCACTATGCCACCAGGGCTCTTTTTAAAAGGGGAAGTATGAGTCCTGGTGTGGTGCTGTTGGTTAATGCACTGGACTGCAAAGTCAACTTGAAATGCAAGGTCAGCGGTTCAAGCTTACCCTCCTTGGAAACCCTATGCAGGGTTGCTATGGGTCGGCAGTGACTCTACAGCAATTAACAACATTCTGAAATATTTAGTTAATGCCTACATTTTCACCTGCATTTGATTTCACAAGCAGGACAGTATCTCTGGAGAGCAAGGAATATCTTACTAGGAAGTGTCTACATTCTAGTTTTGTTTTTCTTCTAGACTTTTTAATATCATTAACTTGGTCTTAATGTATAGCTGAAGGACAAATCAGTCATTGAGAAATTTTGGTGTCAAGTCAAATCTCTTGTGGAGTGGGTGGAGAACACACCTAAAGAAGGAATAGAATCTCGGCTAATGATGACACTTAACACCCTAACAAAACAAAACAATTCAGCAGTGCAAGTAATATTCAAAAACGGATTCTGCTTCCTCCCACCCCCCAAATTGTATAGACCTGCTTTAGACATGCAACAGACAGAATGGATACACATCATCAGCATCAAGCGGCACTGCGTAGCTCAGAGATTATTGCTTAGCTTTATTTTCCTCTTGGTATTTTTCTTAAGCTTCCACATTTGCTACACTAAATGCCTACATAACTGGGGGAAAGTTATATCCTGCATTTTTTTAAACTTTCCGGCCGGTCAAGAGCCGTTATTTCCTGCTGTGTGGTGGTGGTGGTGGTTCTGTGCCATGGAGTCTGTATTTCCCTCCTTTTATTTGCTTCACAAACAACACGAGGATGTGATTGATTTGTTGAAAAAAGAACAAAAAGTAAAACTTTTGTTGTCCCTCCAGGAAAGTAGGTTGGCGCAGCTCTAACACTCTGGGCCATAGCCCAGGCCTGTCCAGTGCAGGCGTGGCCACTTCTGGATCCAGAGCTGCCTGGGGCCAGCATCCCTGAGGGAGGGAGCCTAAAGCAGGAACCTTGTCTGAGTCCTACCCAAACTGAATCTTAAACCAGCTCCTTGGGGCAGGCCTCCTGGGCTTTGTAAACTGAGAGAAAGACCACAGGATTTACGCTCTCTGGAAGGACTGGCGCAAGGAAACATCACAGAGGAAGCTAGACTGCCCTGCGCCACAGTCACGTCCTGCGCAGGCCGACCAACGCGGGTGGGAGGCTCCGTAGTTATTTCGGGACACGCCGTCGTTTACAGAACTTGCTGTGGTTCCAGTTCCCTAGCCGTCCCTGGGCCCAGATCTTGGGGCGAAAATGCCTGCCCTGCACATTGAAGATTTGCCAGAGAAGGAAAAACTTAAGATGGAAGTTGAACAACTTCGCAAAGAGGTAAAGTTGCAGAGACAACAGGTAAGTTGCTAGTTCCAGAACCTCTCCTCTTTTGAAATGAACCAAGGTCAGCTTTTCCTTGTTTGTTACCAAAAAACAAATATGCTTTTCTCCTGCAGCTACTTTTAAATTAGGGGTTTTGCCAGGGCTGGAAACTGATATTTGATGTGAAGAAATCTTAGGAGTTAAGGGAGAGATCAAGGATCAGCTAAGTAATTTTAAATGGAATGTCTTAAGTTTGAGCAGCCAAGAATGGGGGAACCAGAAGAAATATCACACCTTTATTATTATTATTTATTATTAGATAGCTGGTTTTTAAAAACTCAGTTGTGATAGTGGCACAACGTGACCAGCGTAATGAATGTCACTAAATTGTACAGGTAAAATCATGTTGAAATTCCAAGTAGTTTCCTATATATATTCTTACCGCAATAATTAATAAACAAAAATTAAAACTCAGTTGTAAGGAAAAGGTCGTTATTTACTTCGTTTTATTTAAAATCTTTTTTATTATCTGAATGAATGATAATGAAATGCTTGTTAACCACATTTTAAAGTCTTAAAAAAAAAAAACTTTTAATTTCCTCAGTGTCTCCAAAGTGAAGTGCTAAGTACAATCCACTAGGTGTTTGGAACAAAACATTAACATTTCTATAGTTATTAATTTGTAAAGTAAGGTTCTTTATCATTTCTGGTTTCATTATGCTTTATAATTAAACATGCATAAAGTAATAAGAAGTTGGTATCTGTCCCTATTTATAAGTAAATCGTTATATATATACATATTCAGAGGCCCACATGACACTTTTTTTTAGTGATTTTAAGAGATTTAGAGAGCATTAAAGTAGATTACAAATTCAGTGAGCGCATGTGTCACATTATTAATAAGTCTCCACATAAGTTTGTTGGTGTTTCTGTAACTTTTACTTTAGTGTCTTACTGGCAATGGCAGGCTTCATTAAAATACTAAAATTTCATCCGTTTTTACTCTACCAGGTAACTTGTAGTCCAGAGATAAGCTTTGGGGTGGATATTATTTTTAAGGGAAATTAATCTTTCTTCCACAGCAAGAAAATTTTAACTATTTTATTTCTCTATGATTGGATACTAGAGAAAATTTAAGAAAAACAATGGAAATTAAGCAAGTACTGTGGTGGTGGTGGTTATGTGCGTTGGAGTCGGTTTCAACTCATAGCCACCCTGTATAGGGTTTCCAAGGTTATAATTCTTTATGGGATCAGAAAGCCTCATCTTTCTCCCGTGGAATTGTCGCACAGAAAAGCAAGTACTGTAAACATGCCCATTTGCCTCACTGCTTCAGTAAAGGCTTTACTGATGAGAATTTTGCTACCAGAGTGCCTGTTTGAAGATACAAGCTGTTTCAGAGTTCTACTTTTTACAGATTTCTTTTGTTTTAAACTTCGTGTCCAAATTCCTGCTGCTCCTAAATATTGGAGTTAATTGGCCTTTCTATCCATGTTAAGTGAGGGCTTTGTAGCTTTAAAAATAAGGTGTTTAAAGAGTGGTGGGGAGGAAATTCCTAGGATCCAGTGAATAGACATTTTTCATGAATTCTTGAGGGAGGGACCCATTTCATGGATGGTAGAGCCCACACACAGTACAGCATGTATTGGCCATTTAGATTCTTTCACACAGTAAAACTTCCAGGTTACAAATTAAAAAAGTTGCTTATACTGCAATAAAGCATTACCTTAATGAAAAGTTAGAATATCTTCATATTTGGTATACATATTTGCAGAATGTATAGAAGTAAAAAAGAAACAAATGTTTTCTACTTATTACAAATTTTAAATTATATATTGGTCATGGGCCTAGAGCAGCTAACTTGTGGAAATGAAACTGACCATCTGTTAGCATGGTCTTCCTACCAACCTTTTCCCCACCCCCACCCCCTTGAGGACCCATGCTGCTGCATCCACTTTCCAACTCAGGAAATGCCAAATGTACCCAATGTGGGGGAAATGCTCTGATATCCTTAGGGCATGGAGGTTGTTGTTGTTGTTGTTAAATGCTATTGAGTAGATTCCAACTGTTAGCAATCCTCTATAAGGTTTCTGAGGAGCGGCTGGTGAGTTTGAACCGCTGACCTTATGGTTCAAACTGACCTTATGGTAGAGTGCTTATCCTATAGCACAACACCAGAACTCCAAGGCATGAAGCTAGAGGTATCTAAGTCCTAATAACAGTATTCAAACATTTTATTATGCACTGTGGATTAAAGTATAAATGATAGGCAAGATTTGGGTTTTAGAGACTATTCAATTTAGAGAGTTACCAGGGAGACTAACTAACTAACTCCTCATATAAGACTCCAGAGATAGTGTTAGGCTGGGTTCAAAGACTCCAATCTCTGGATGCTCTGGCCCATTAAACTGTCAATAGATTATTAATGTCTAAATTCAGACCAAGGTTAAAGAATCCACAGGCAGAATTCTGCCTGGACATACTCTTGATAGTGAAAGAAAATATATCAGAAGAGTAATTGTTCACTTTTGAAGGTTACAGACCTGTTTGGAAATGGAATATAGCCTCTATAAGTACAGACCCAGTTTGAGGAACATGAGCCTTACCCATAAAATCCATGGGGCTGGCCACAGACACCCCCCCACCCCCAGGTTATGGATGCTTGCATCACCAATTCTGAGAATTTATTTGAGATGCACACTCTACAAATGTGTGTGACATTAGACTGCACATGTTATTCGAAAGACCTGTACTTGAAAATAATTTATTTTGCCATATTTTAAGTTATGAAATTGTATCACCTGTTTTAAATTTTAGGTCAGTGGCCTCCACACGGGTATATAAAGAATAATTCTTTGAGGTGCGAGAGAAAAATATTAAATTTTCATTTAGTTTGAAAACTCACTCTTTTATAATTTCCGGTTTATTTTTGTTGTTATTAAGTGCCATTGAGTCGGTTCCAACCCACAGCGACCCTGTATAGGGTTATCAAGGAGTGGCTGGTGAGCTTGAATTGCTGATGTTGAAGTTCAGATGGCCTTACAGTCCAGCAAATTAACCCATAGCGCCTCACCAGGACTCCATACACATCATGTTCTAGCACATTAGTGTGTGTGCCAAGTACTCAAAAGTAAATTATTGTATACATTTTGGGGATGCATAAGCAAACATATTTTAGTGATAACAATTTAAAAATTTTGAAGATTACTAATTCAGTGAGAATTTGTGCCCCTGTTTTACGAGATCACCATTGAATTTGTTGGCATTTCTGTAATTCCTAATTCTAATTTATTACTGCTAATAAAAGGAGCTGTGGCAGCATAGTGGTTATGAATCGGACTGCAAACTACAAGGTCAACAGTTGGAAATTACCAGCTGCTCTGCAGGAGAAAGATGAGGCTTTCTGTTTCAGTAAAGATTTACAGCCTCGGAAACCCTGTGTAGGGTAGCTATGAGTCAGAACCAACTCCATGGCACACAACAACAACAACAACAACAGTATAAGCCTGGAGTCCTGGTATGATACTGCAGCTTATTGCCCTGGACTGCAAGGTCAGTTACAGCCACAAGGCCAGTGGTTCAACTGCACTAGCCACTCCTTGGAAGCCCTGTACAGGGTCACTATGAGTCAGAACTGACTGGACAGCACTAAACAACAACAGTAGCAATATAAGCCTGGTGTGGCGTTGTAAGATGATCACTGGACTGCTAACTGCAATGTTGGTGGTTCAAACCCACCAGCCATTCCTCGGAAACTCTGTACAAGGTTGCTATGAGTGGAACTGACTCAGTGATGTTTAGTAACAGCAACATAGGTCTTTATTAAGACATTAAGCCCCATACTCCCCTTTGTTTTTAATTATTTTCCCTCATTCTTGTACTCTATATTCTAAAATAGACTTTTTAACCTTAACAGAGTGTTTAACCTTAAGGGAGTGTCATGGCACTCTGGGTGACAAGCCCTGGACTGTGAACCTCAAAATCAGTAGTTTGAGCCCACTATCCATTCTGTGGGAGAAATATGAGGCGTTCTGCCCTTACAAAGATAAAGATGTACAGCCTTGGAAACCCGATACAAGGTCACTATGAGTTAGAACTGACTCCTTGGCACGTTACAACTAACAGCATCCAGTCTTAGCTTAAGGAGCTGGTTTGCTCTGTAATACATGGGGTTGCCATGAGTCAGACTCAATGACAACTCAATGACAGTGGACTCCATGACAGCAAGTTTGTTTTTTTGTGTTCGGTCTTTTTTCCACTGCAGAAAATGTTTGATAAGCACAACCGTCTCAGGTAAGCCTAATAATGCTGAGCTAACGCTTTTATTCAGATCATGGACTGCAAAACAAGCACAGAAATTCTACAAAGAAACATAGGGAGGGAAGTGTGGGCAGTTTCAGTCTTTCCAGAGCCCTTTCTCCAATGGTTCCATCATTTCGTGAAATTCCAGAACATGGCACACACCCATGATAACTGAACATTTTGGCCAGACACATCTCAAAAAATTGGGGAATCATCTGTGACTATATCTGTCTCTTATCATGGAAAATTTCAAAGGGTATATTTAAGTAGGAGCTCTGGTAGCGTAGTGGTTACGAATCGGGCTGCGAACCTTAAGGTCAGTGGTTCGAAACTACCAGCCGCTCCGCGGGAGAAAGATGAGGCTTTCTACTCCCGTAAGGATTTACACCCTCGGAAACCCTGTACAGGGTCGCTATGGGTCGGCTCCGACTCGAAGGCACTTAACAACAACAACAACAAAATAATATAGATATGTCATTCTTGTATTTTAGCAGAGGAAGGAGATTATGAGACATGATAGATAGATTCCTGGGATCATCTATAGAATGTAGTGACTTTCTAATTTTTCTGAACCTGACCAATAGTAAGCAACACATTGTACATAGATTACACATGATGTACTCTGTGTTGTTCTCTAATACTTTTATTCTATTCTATGTCATTTAGAAAAATGCTTCTTGTACCAATTATATTAATTTCAATAAAGGGTGGTAATAGCAGGTGGAACAACCCTCACCTAATTCATTGTTTTTTTCCTCTCTCTTTTCTCCTTTTTTTGTTTTTATTTTTTGTTCTTGCTTAAGGTGTCAAAATGTTCTGAAGAAATAAAGAACTATATCGAAGAACGTTCTGGAGAAGATCCCCTGCTGAAGGGAATTCCAGAAGACAAGAATCCCTTTAAAGAAAAAGGCAGCTGCATTATTTCATAAATAACTCAGGAAAACTTCATTCTCTGTGGAAGAATTAGCATGTTTTGATTTTTCCAGATGAAACCAACGTGCTTTTTAAAGAAGGGGAAACTGAAGTTTAAATGAGACTTTCTTAAGCACTCAATAGGTATAGCTATATATAAAAGCCTCTGTGTTTCTCATCTTTGTTCACTATGCACCCCTGTTTAAAGAGGGCAGGGTCTCCAGTGCACAATGAGGGAAGTAAGAACCTTACTTGTGCATAAATCACTCCTTTCAGTATACTGCTTGATGCCTCAAATAAAGTTTTATCTCTGGAAAACGAGTGTTTGCCATTTAAGAAGATGTTTTTCATATGTTAACATTTATATTTCTTCCAGTCAACTTTTGGATGTTTGGAAAATGTTCCCAAAGATTAAATGGCTTGTTCATCTAGTCTCAAATCCCACTTTCTTTGCTTCAAGTCTCACCAGGTTACAGTGCCAATTTCTGACTTCTGGAATGTGTTTGAGCTGATTTTATCATTAGGAACTGAGTGAGTAGAATTCCTAAGAATAACACTGACAGGAGTCAATTTTGTGAGTTAGAAGCCAAGCCAAGCCAAGTCTACATTAGTACTGCCCCAATTATCATCGTTCAGTGCCTTGTGCAAAGTGTTGCTGTAATAGTGACCTTTGGGAAAGGGGCCAGCCGACCAATCAGAGTTCAGGAAGAGTGTACAGCCTCCCTGCAATGCAGTGGTCCAGCCAGTCCCATACTTGCGGGCTGGTACATTTCACTGGCAGAAGGCACAGCAACTGATGTATTCCATCTTTGCTGAGTTGGCGAGAACACTTGGCTTTCTGCAATTCTCTTGCCAGTCTTTTCTAGAAGTCCCTAGGCAAGACATCTCTTTTCATATCTTACAGGGACTAGGAAGAGAGTGCAGGAATGCCAGTTTCTGTGATTTTAGCAGGTGCCATACATCAGAGCTCATGATCTGCTCAAATCTTCTAGAAGGTTCCTCCAGCTGCAAATATAAAGAAAGGGACTTTTCAGTGAGCATTTATTTTCCTTTCTATTCTGACTTTGAATGTTCATTGTTCCAAGTTTGGGCCAAAATTAAAACCAAGCAAAACCCTTGCAGTTTAGCTGTAGCTCAAATGATGTTACTCATCCTGCAATTTTAATGTGGCATATGGACCACATTTAGGCACCATAAACTCAACATTTTCATTTGTTCTCTTCTCTGGTATAACTTGTAATGAGCTTGAGATCCGTGTATGTCTAACTGCTGTAGCATCATTGATCAGAATGGCTATTCCTCCTCCATTAATAGCTTTTACCCTTTTGCCAAAAGTTGGGAGCGTTTGCATGAATGTATTTCTATGTATTTATTCTGTTTAATTGGTTTATATGCCCATCCTCTGCCAGTACCTCACTTTCTACAGCCCGCCAGCTATAGAGTAATTAGTAACATGAGGAAGAGCTATCCCTCCCACTTTAGTTTCCTTTTTCAAAACCATGTTTTGATATTCTAGACCCTTGCTCTTTTCCTGTAAAATTTAAAATAAACCAGTCTATGTGTACAAAGAAACTTGCTGAGGTTTTGGTAGAAATTAAGTTAGCACTTAGCAACAACAACATAGATCAATTTGGGGAAGAACTGACCTCTTTATCAGATTGAATCTTTCAATCCAAAATACAATGTCTTGCCAAAGATTTGTCATCTTTGACTCCATTCATCAACATTTTATAATTTTTAATATACAGATCCTGCACATGCTTTGCAGATTTATATCTAGGCATTTTGTTTCCTTTGGAATGATTATAAATATTATTGTTTTTTTGTTTTTTTGTTTTTTTTTACTTTCACTTGTTAGGTGCCATTGAGTCAAAACTAACTCATATTTTCACTTAACAGTGTGTAAAAATACAATATATTCTTATGCTGATCTTACATACTGCAACTTTGTTATTAGTGAATTTATTTATTAGTAATAGGAGGGTTTGGGGTAGACTCTTTGGGGTTTTCTACATTGACAGTCATCTGGAAACAGACAATTTTATTTTCTTCCTTTCCTTTGTTGTTGCCTTATGGCAAAGACTAGAACTTCTACATCTACATTAAACATCAGTAGTAAGAGCAATCTTTAAAAATCACTCTGTGTTTCTCCATTACCATGTTAGTTTTCATTTTCTGGGCATAAGTTCCGGTGACAGACAGATTGACTTTCAGAGACCTTGCAATTCTTTTCAGACCTGATTGGTTCTACAGATTCTTTTGGTGTTCCATTCAATCCCTGGTTATGCCATCTGAAGAAATGTAGTAACAATAGATCAGGGGTTGGCAAATGACAGCTTCTGGACCAACACTTGGCTGCCACCTGTTTTTCACACATAAAGTTTCATTGGAACACATCTGTACCCACTTCTTGTTAGGTGCCATAGAGTCAGTACTGACCATAGCAACCCTATGTATAACAGAATGAAACACTACCCGGTCCTGGGCCAACCTCACAATTGTTGACACGCTTGAGACCATTAATGCTGCCACTTTGCCAATCCATCTTGCTGGGGGTCTTCCTCTTTTTATCTGACCCTCCACCTTACCAAACATGATACGCTTCTCCAGTAACTGATCCATCCTGACACTATGTCCAAAGTATGAAAGACAAAGTCTGGCCATCCTGGCCTCCAAGGAGCACTTTGGTTGCACTTCTGACAGATCTGTTGGTTCTTTTGGTAGCCCATGGCACCTTCAATATTATCCTCCAACACCATAACTCAAAAGCATCAATTTTTCTATGGTCTACCTTATTCACTGTGCAGCCTTCGCATGCATATGAGGTGATTGAAAATACCATGGCTTGGGTCAGGCATATCTTAGTCCTCAAGCTGACACCTTTGCTCTTCAACACTTTAAAAAGGTCTTGTGTAGCATATTTGCCTAATGCAATATGTCATTTGATTTCTTGACTGTTGCTCCCATGAGTGTTGATAGTTGGTCCAAGAAGAAAGAAGTCCTTGACAATTTCAATCTTTTCTCCGTTGATAAGAATGTTGTTTATTGGTCCAGTGGTGAGGATTTTTGTTTTCTTTACATTGAGATGTAATCCATACCGAAGGCTGTGCTCTTTGATCTTCATCAGTAAATGTTTTAAGTCCTCTTCACTTTCAGCAAGCAAGGTTGTATCATCTGCATATCACAGGTTCCAATCCTGATGCCACGTTTTTCTTCATAGAACCCAGCTTCTCGGATTATTTGCTCAGCATACAGGTTGAATAAGTATGGTGAAAGAATACAACCTTGTAGCAAACCTTTCTTAATTTTAAACCATTCAGTGTTCCCATGTTCTGTTCGAATCACTGCTTCTTGGTCCATGTACAGATTCCTCATGAGCACAATTAAGTGTTCAGGAATACTTACACTTTGCAGTGTTGTCCATAGGGTGTCATGATCCACACAATCAAAAGCCTTTTGCTTAGTCAATAAAGCATGGGTAAACATCTTTCTGTTGTTCTCTGCTTTCAGCCAAGATCCATCGAACATCAGCAATGATATTCCTTGTTCCACGGCCTCTTCTGAATCCAGCTTGAACCTCTGGAAGTTCTCTGTGAATGTATGATTATAGCCATTTCTGTATTACTTTTAGTAAAACCTTACTCACATGAGATATCAAAATATTGTTCGATGATTTCCCCATTTCATTGGGTCACGTCTCTTTGGAATGGGCACAAATATGGATCTCTTCCAACCTGTCGGCCAGATGGCTGTCTTCCAAATTTCTTGGTAGAGATGAGTGAGTGCCTCCAGGGCCGCCTCACTTTCTTGAAAGATTTCTATTTTTATTCCATCAATTCCTGGTGCCTTGTTCTTTGCCAATTCCTTCAGTGCACCTTGGACTTCCTCTTTCAGTATCCTTGACGCTTGATCATATGCTACCTCTTGAAAAAGTTGAACATCAACCATTTCCTTTTGGTAATGTATTCCTTCCATCTTCTTTTGACGCTTTCTGCATCACTCAATAATTTGCCCAGCGAATCTTTCAATAACAAAAAGACGAGGCTTGAATTTTTTCTTGAGTTCCCCCAGCTTGAGAAATGCTGAGCGTGTTCTTTCCTTTTGGTGTTTCTGATTCCAGATCTTTGCACATTTTGTTGTAATATTTGACTTTGTCTTCTCAAGCTGATCTTTGAAATTTTCTGTTCAGCTCTTATTTCTTCCATGTGCTTTAGCATCTCTACACTGGAAAGCAAGATTCAGTGTCTCTTCTGACATCCATTTTGACCTTTTCCTACTTTCTTGTCTTCTTAATGACTTTTTGCTTTCTTCCTGTATGATGTTCTTGATTTCATCCCACAACTCTTCTGGTCTTTGGTGTTGAATGTATCAAATCTGTTCTTCAGATGATCTCTAAATTCAGGTGGGGTATATTCAAGGTCATATTTTTGTTCTCGTGGAATTGTTTTCATTTTCTTCAGCTTCAGTTTGAATCTGCATATGAGCAATTGATGGTCTGTTCCACAGTCTGCCCCCGGCCTTGTTTTGACTGGTGATATGGAGCTTTTCTATCGTCTCTTTCCGCAGATGTAATCAATTTGATTTCTGTGTATTCCATCTAGTGAGGTCCATGTGTATAATTGTCTCTTATGCTGTCTAAAGAAGGTATTTGAAATGAACAAATCATTGATTTTGCAGAAATCTGTCATGTGATCTCCAGCATCATTTCTACACTAAGGCCATTTTTTCCAACTACAGATCCTTCCTCTTTGTACCCAATGTTTGCATTCCAGTCACCAGTAATGATCAATACATCTTGATTGTATGATTGATCAATTTCAGATTGAAGAAGTTGGTAGAATTCTTCTATTTTATCCTCACTGGCTGAATGGTGTGTACACTTGAATAATAGTGGTATTAACTGTCTTCCCTGTAGGTGCATGGATATTATTCTGTCACAGACAGCATAGTACCTCATAACCTCATAAGTGATCTTGATGTGTTCTTTTTGACAATGAATGCACCACCATTCCTCTTC